CCCTCAAGCAGTCACTGTTTTTCAGCGTGGCGAGGACCTACAGGCTCTGGGGCTGTATCAACAGAGGAAAGGTTCAGTTCTAAGGTGAAGCATTAAACTAACAGCCTGCTTGAGGAGATTAGCTCTTGATGAAGGTAACAGCCTCTCCTGGGGGGCTCTCTTGTGTCGATGATTGGCAGTGGTTGGTCAGGGATGCTTGGCAACTTTCAAAGGATGGGACAAAGAAAGACCTTTTTCTCTATCCACTACAAATTTCAAATGTCCCCCAAACATTCATTTAGAGCAGTGGTTCTCAACCTTCCTAATGCCGCAACCCTTTAATGCAGTTCCTCATGTTGTGGTGACCCCCCAACCATAAAATTATTTTCATTGCTACTTCAGAACTGTAATTTTGCTACTGTTATGAGTGGCCATCGGAAATATGTGTTTTCCGATGGTCTCAGGTGACCCCTTAGAAAGAGTCATTCGACCCTCAAAGGGGTTGTGACCCACAGGTTGAGAACTGCTGATTTAGAAGGAAAACCTACTTATAAATTAACAGAGCCTAGAATCTAACGCAGCTTTATACATATAAACTCTCAAAATATTTTATCCACTTTTAATATAACATATCTTTTCCATGAATCTGACTACCATATAAGCTTTAGATCACTACCATATAAGATCAGAACTGTCTAGGAATTGCTGACCATTTGCAAGAGTCTGAATGTTCATCCCCCTGAATTTCCTAGGTTGAAACTGAATCCTCAGTGTGATGATATGAGGAGGCAGCACCTTTGGAAGGCAGAGTCCTCATGAATGGGATTAGTGCCCATAGGAAAGAGACCTCCCAGAGCTCCCTTCCACCACGTGAGGAAAAGAGAAAAGCCCTCTGTGACCTGGGAGCTGGTCTCCCTCACCACACACCAATCTGCCAGCACCTTCATCTTGAACATCTCAGCCTCCAGAGCCGTGAGAAGTGAATTTCTGCTGTTTGTAAGCCATCCAGTCTACGAAATCCTGAATGGACCAAGACACCGTTTCACCAACAGCAGCGATGCTTCCACTGGTGTGTGAGCCACAGACTGACATGCGTTGTAGCTGTCACATCCATGGTGATTCCATACTGGTGTTAAGACTCTATTTTCATTTTTTTTGACCATGTAGCAGTGTGTCAGTACTTGTATGTTATCACATTTTCCTCTTTCTCATGTTATATTTTAATTAGCGTATTTTTTTTTAAAAATAAATATAATAGATTATCTCGAGAATTAAAGGAATATTAAAAAATATTTATTATACAAAGGGGGCACTGGATACGACAGGGAAGATCCCATTGCTTTAAAATTTACAGACACACCCTGGCTGCTCTGGCTCAGTGGTTAGAGCATCGCCTGTGGACCAATGAGTCCCGGGTTCGATTCCAAGGGCATGTACCTCCACTGCGGTTCGTCCCCGGCCCTAGTTGGGGTCGTGCAGGAAGCAGCCAGTCGATGTGTCTCTCTTGTGTCGATGTTTGTTTCTCTCTCCCCCTCTCTCCCTCCCTCCCACTGTATCTGAAGATAAATGGAAAAATATCCTCAGGTGAGGATTAAAAAAAATAAAAATAAATAAATAAATAAAATTTACAGACACCTAAAATAAAGCCCAGCACTTCTGGTTCACTTATTTATTTAGTTTTGGTTTCTTGCTTACTTGGAAGATTTATATATACATTAGGAAAAGCACCAGCTCCCTGCTGACATTCTTCCTGTCAACCAGTCTGTGGCTGCCCATGCCTCCACTTTGATCTTCTTTTTTATTTCACTTCATCCTCCCTGCATGTTCCTAGCAATAAAGCGTCTAACATTTCAGCAGGTCAGGCGGAGGCCCAGTCCCATCAGCTTCAGTAGCCGGCAGAGTCACAGGACCCGCTGTGCCCCTAGCTTTGTTCCTCTGAAAGCTATGACAATCACCCCCGTTTTCTCCTCCGGCGGTTCGACTCCGACAGCTGACCAAACAGTAAAACCAGCCAAGTCTGAAGTCTGAACTCCTTCAAATGTATTCTCTCCTGAGGTACATGGGCTGTTCCTTTGAGTATGTATTTGGACATTCACAAATCAAAACAACTTGAGGGCTCTTTGTCTTTTTATAGCTCCAACAAGGTAACTTTCTTTTCTTTTTTCTTTTTAAATTAGACAGAAGGAACCAAAAGAGCAACAACAACAAAAACCCACCCAGTCCCACCAACCATTGGTGATATGCTCTCTGTCAGATGCCAGCGGATAATCGTCATTTTCAGGGTGAGCGTCCCTTCATTTTCAAAGATGACACGCGAAAAGGATGTTTCTCAGTAAACAACAACTCTCCTCTGACTGCACGTAATTCCTTCCTGCCCTCACGCATCCGGCTCGCTGCTCTCGGTCACGAGTGCGCCGAGGCAGAGCTCCACTGTGACGCAGGGACATGCTCTGACTCAGCCCTGGAGAGAACAGGGCGGCAGGGAGATGATGCCACCCCCAGTCCATGACTCCTTATTATGTTGTGGAGTTCCTAAAAAACCGACAGAAGCAGAAGCAGGCAGGAGACAATCCGCTGTCTCAGGCCTAACCTGGGCCTTGAGACATCCTAGGGGTTAAAATCTGCAAACAGAAATCACTGTGTACGTGCTGGCCACATTCCATACACTTATCCTAGAAGCAACAACAGGTCCCTGGGGCCAGAATATGTCTATTTCAGGCTCCACCTCAGTTAAGGTATTTGCAGGACGTGTTCCTCATCAACACACTATGCAAGAGGCAGTGAGAGACATAAAGGTCTGAAAGACACGGTAAATGTCCTAAAGAACATACGATCCAGGGCAGAGCCCAATGTACACATACTGCTATTCCGTCAGGCAGGCAGTACACAGTATTATAGAGCTATAAGCAAATGATCAGAAAAAGATCAGTGAGAACTGTGTGCAAGTATCATCACAGAAGGGGCATTGGAGCTGGATCTTGCAGGATGGACGGGCAATGAGTAAATAATAAAAGGGCTTAAATGATGGGACAACATGATCCTATTTGTGATTCGGAAAGATAATTCTGGCAGGAATGCCGACAGTCCTCTTTTACTAGCAAATATGATGGAGCTGATAACTTAGCTCCTTTCCTTTAACGTAAACAACAAACATCAAAAGACTCTACCACCGTTGAACCATATAGTGATGCAAAATTGTGCTTCCCTTTTGTATGAGATTTTAGCTGTACAGCAACTATGTCCTGGGTACTGTGCCAGATGCTAGAGGTAACAAAGAGAGTGTCCCTCCTTCCTTCCCACACGCACCCGTTGAGATAAATACAAATCCATGCAGTGGGCCCTGTGAAAAAGGATAAGACAAAGTACAATAATACCCTTAGTCTGGACATTAAAGAAGGTAAATGGGGGGGAGGGGCACGTGGAGGCGAGTAAAGGGGCATTTGGGGAACACCAGCTCACGTTAGTCAAACACAAAGGATAGAAGAGCTTTATCTCTAAAAACATGTCAAATGAAAAAAGATGGCAAAGGAGATTGGAGCAGCAGAAACCCACCGCTTAGGGGACAGAGGAAGAAGAATCGACAAGTGAAATAAAATAGAGCTGGGAGGAGAATCCAGTCAGCACAACACACTGAAGACCTTGGCAGAAAAAGGAATGGTCATGAACAATACATGCCGCAGAAAGGACAAAGAAAGTGACGCCTGAGGCAAAGCCACCGGACGTGGCATTGGGGGCGGAGCACAGGAGTCACCTGACAGAACACTTTCTGTAAGAGGAAAGTCAGCCTGACGGGAGGCCACACGTGGGGCCAACACCAAAGCACCAGAGTCGCTGAATCCTGACAGTGAATATTGAAAACAGTGTTTTAATACAAACAAGATTTTTATTAACTTTATTATTATTATTATTTTTGTTAATCCTCACCTGAGGATATTTTTCCATTGATTCTTTTAGAGAGTGGAAGGGAGGGAGGGAGGGAGAGAGAGAGAGAAACATCAATGTGAGAGAGACACACCCATTAGTTGCCTCCCGCACAGATCATGGCTGGGGAAACCTGCAACCCAGATACGTGCCATTGACCAGAATCGAACCCGAGACCCTTCGGTCCCGGGGCTGACGCTCTAACCACAGAGCCAAACTAGCCAGGGCACAAATAAGATTTTTAAAGAACCGTGCATGGTAAAAGAAATGAAGATATAAAACCGTCAAGAATGGAGCAGCGAAAGACAACGTTTCTGATACTCCCATTTCACTCTAACACAATTGAAACATTCCTAATAATACCCGATGGGGTGTTTCCACATTGAATTTTAATTTTTATCTTGAGCTTGCAGTGGCAAGATTTTACTTTTGGCAGTCTGACAGGGACGCCTGAAAGGGTCCCATGGCCTTAGTAGACATCAGCTAGACAGATGGCCAAAGCACAGACACTCTGTTTCTTATTTTTGTTTTTCCTAGAGGTCTTTAGGACCCAATGGTGTCATTAGAATGTGAAGCTTATTCCGCACTTTCCTACTGGGCTAGTAGAAGAGTTTTATAAGCTCCCTTTATCCTTCCACTCCAGTAAAGATACAGGAAAAAAGATTTTTTTAAAAAAAAGTCTTCTGAGAAGGCTTTAAATTATTTTTTTAAATAATAAATAATCTTTCAAGTCAACATTCTTTTTGTTCAATAAGTAGCATACAGGAGTAATGTGGGTGGTGGTGGTGACATTTAGAACATTGTTACAAATCAAAGTGCTTGTCCTTATAAACAAAAACCTTATTTCCTGAGGCAACAACATAGACGACTAATGCTTTGCACATTTTAATAGCCAGTAAAATAATCCAATTATCGTGTTGAGTAAAATCACAGGAGGGCAACCTCACATGATACTAACACATATGGGCACATGCTCTAAAGTAGAAGGGAATTCAGTGTTAGTCTTCAGAACAACATAAGATGTTAGCAATGACGTCACAAAAATAGTGTTTCTTCACACTGTAGGGAATTTAAGAATTCCTGGCATGAAAATCACTTACCTAGCTCTTCATTTTCAATTACTTCAAATGTGGCCCAGATATCATCTTTTGAAGGAATAATATTTTTTATTGCTAATATATCATTAGTTAATTCTTCTGCTTCCATCACAGGAGATATCTGTAAATGAGGCAAAATTTCTTTAGAATATATGTCAGCCCCAGACCTAGCCTTATGCTAGGGCAATAATATTCACCATCCACCATCTCATGATACCCGGAGTTTCCTCCTAGTGTGTTTAACTAGCTTCTCTGAGCACACAGAGCAAAGAGCCTATACAGATCTTCTACATTAAATACCTTTTTTTCCCCCCCCGATTTCTGAAGCCTCTCATCTGAAACAAACAAAAGCATTTTTGCACCTGTGTGCTTTTTTTTTCATCTTTACTGTTGTAAGTATTACAGGTTTCCTTTTTCCCCCACTGACACCCTCCTCCCAGCTCCCATGCCCCCTGCCTTCACCACACTGTAATCTGTAACCATTGGTTATGCATATATGCATCACCTCACACCTGTCAGAATGGCTCCCATCAACAAATTAGCAAAAGATAGTGCTGGAGGGTGTGGAGAAAAGGGGACTCTAGGACACTGCTGGTGGGAATGCAGATGGTGCAGTCACTGTGGAAAAGAATATGGTGTTTCCTCAAAAAATTAAAAATGGAACTGCCATTTGACCTAGTGATCCCACTTCTAGGACTATATCCTGAGAAGCCTGAAACACCAATCAGAAAGAGTATATGTACCCCTATGTTCATAGCAGCACTATTTACAATGGCTAAGATCTGGAAACAGCCCAAGTGTCCATCAATAGATGAGTGGCTAAAAAAGCTGTGGTACATGTACACAATGGAATATTTCGCAGCTATAAGAAACAAAGATCTTTTATCCTTTGAGATGACGTGGAGGGACCTGCAGAGTATTATGCTAAGCGAAATAAGGCAAGCAGAGAAAGACAAATGTCACATGATTTCACTTATTTGTGGACTCGAATGAACAAAATACACTGACTAACAGAAAAGATTCAGAGACATGGAAGTAGGGAACAGACTGACAAACCTCAGAGGGAGTGGGGGGAGTTGGGGATGGGAAGAAAGAAACCAAAGAACATAAAATACATTTTAACACGAGTGCAAAGTTATTACAATAAAGACAGAATCAGGAAGAATTCTTTTTATCACTTAGTGAGCAATCCGATCACTCAGAAGGGAGACCATACCTGGTTACACAGGTAAAGACCGTCACAAGAAAGCAAAGCCAGTGGTCTCCTGGAGTAAAACTTTTCAGTTCTATAATCAGGAGTTCAAAGTGGTTTGGTGTACTCAGCCTGATGCCAGAATTACACAGTCGACGGCCGCCTGCCATGCCAAAGAGCCCCAGGGTTTTAGTGGTGTGCGGGGTGCCCTGCCATGCCAAGTGACAGATGGTGGGACACCAAAGCATGGAGCCAGGTTTTTAGGGCACAGGGCAGGGTCTGCAGTGCCAGCCTGGGGCCAGCTCTACACGAGTCCAAAGCCTTAGGCCACTGCATCAGCACACCAGCTTCCTAACGTCTGCGATCTCTGATTTTTCTTCTTGTTACTGTTGCCAATCTGAACTGCTGCTGGCCAAAAGCAAGCTGGCTGTCTTCAATCAGGATTTAGTTACAACATTAAACAAATAAGAGATGTTTTTAAGCATTAGAGTATTCTAACTGTACATTTTCAGTTAAATATGTACCTATTTTTTAAATGTCTTAGAAAAGAAATGTGCTCGTGTCCATTTCCCCCATCCATTTGTTTTTAAATTATCAACTTGAGAAAGAGACAGAGAGAAAAACATCGATTTTTGTTGTTGCACTTATATAAGCATTCATCGTTGATTCTTGTACATACCCTGACTTGGATCAAACCTGAAACTTTGGTGTATGGGGACGACACTCAAATCTCCTGTCCATTACTGATTATAAGCATATTTCACATATATAAATAATGTTAACATTTTTCATTACAGGCAACTCATACAGTCTATCTTTTGGACTTCGTGAAATCCAGTACTTCCTTTGGAGTACATTAATTACATGTGAGGTCCACTGCTTTCCAGTTAGAAAAGCCCAATAAACTTCAAAGACAAAAACAAACAAAAGCAGCATCTGGGAAAAGTAGAGAACTTGAAGCAATAGAACCATTAGTAGATGAATCATCTGAGTAGCTTTAAAATCTTTTCAGCATAGCCTTTTCTTAAAATAATAAATTACTGAGAAACCAAACTTGCAAAAAAGTCAGCAAAGTGTGCGCCTCAGACTGGCACAGGAGAGGGGGATGGAAACTCTGCTCCTTGTCCCAGGGAAAACCCAGGGCCCTTCTTCAGAACACCTAGAACTCCACCAAGGACACTCGGGAAATCATTATTCTAGAGAATACAAAAATCAGTGGACTGAACGTCACATTTGAAATAGGATGATCCAGGTTTGTGTCCTGGCCTTAACGCTTTTTAATTACCAGTATCTATTCTTATAAACGTGGGACATTACCTGTTTTACTTGCCTCCTGGGGTTGAGGTAATGATCAGCTGAGATAAATGTCACTAAAGATTCTTGCCAAGTCTCAAGTATTAAGCAAACATTAATGATTATTTTTGTATCATTTTTTGCAATGTTTTAAAAGAGAATTGGTAAGGTGAAACTGGACAGTCCTTTGTCTCAATACTGTACTTAAAGTAACAGAAACGTTGCTCAGCTGCAATAACTTGTTATAGCTTAATTAGTATGATAAAATTCCACAGAGCTACTAAAGAGGTCAGGTGCCGATGGAGTTCAGTCGCTTGCTGGGAATACCAATTCTAACATTAGAACTGTGCCGATTACTCTGTACTTACTGGCTCCTCAAGCCCCCTATTGTCACCATCACGAAATCAGCGTAAGAAATATGATGTGACCAAGGAGTCGCAAGACCAACCCCTATGCTCGTACTTCAGTTCCATGTTCTAAGTAACCAGTACTACATAGTCAGAATACATAATTATTAAAAATATATAAATTAACAATCACAATATATGTTTGACAAAACTAAACTCCAGAAACATCTAATATTAAGACCCTGGTTAGCCATAGCTGGTTTGGCTCAGTGGATTGAGCATCAGCCCACGGACTGAGAGGTCCCAGTCTGATTCCCGGTCAGAGCACATGCCCGGGTTTCGGGCTTGATTCCCAGTGGGGGCGTGCAGGAGGCAGCCGATCAATGTCTCTTACATTGCTGTTTCTCTCTCTCTCTCTCACTTCCGCTCTCTCTAAAAAATCAATACAAACATATTTTTTTAAAAAAACTGTTTAATCTCAAACTTTAAAAAAGATAAGAAGCTGTGTCTATGGGTTATTCATATATGTTCTCTGGCTAATCCCTTCAACTTCTTTCATCTAGTCCCTCTCACCCCCTCCCTCCGACAGCTGTCAGTCTGTTCCATGTATCAAGGCATCTGTTTCTATTATGTTTGTCAGTTTATTTTGTTCATTAGATTCCACAGACAAGTGAGATCATATGGTACTTGTCTTTCTCTGTCTGGCTTATTTCACTTAGCGTAATACTCTCCGGGTCCATCCGTGCTGTTACAAAGATTTCCTTCTTTTTCACAGCCAGGCAGCATTCCACTGTGAATGTACCACAGCTTTGTTGCTGTTGTTGTTAATCCTCAACCAAGGGTATATTTTTCAATTGATTTTCAGACAGAGTGGAAGGGAGGGCAGGGGAGAGGGAGAAACATCAATATGAGAGAGACACATCGATTGGTTGCCTCCTGCCCAACCAGGGATGGAACCTGCAACCCTTCAGTCCACAGGCCGACGCTCTAACTGCTGAGCCAAACTGGCCAGGGCAATACCACAGGTTTTTCATCCACTCACCTACTCATGGCCATAGACAACAGTGTGGTGATAGCCAGAGGGAAAGGGGTTCGGGACTGGGTGGAAGCAGGCAAGAGCGGGGAATGGGGACGTCTGTAATAGTATCAACAATAAAAATAAAGCATAAAAAAAAAGATAAGATGTTAAAGCTCAATTTCTACCACTACATGGCAGGATGTCTATTCCTCAAATAGAGAATGAATTTCTACTAAGTAGGAATCTGAAATAGCGCTATTACTCTTCCTAACGCAGATTAAGTATTGAATATGGTAGCATGATAAGGATCTTTTTAATTCATAAAAATGATTAATAGTCTTGAGAAAGAGTTATTAAATATTCAAATAAACTGGCAGACTGGAAGCTCAAATCTATGATACAAGGGTGGAGAGTAATAATAATAATAATTGTAACAGTTATTAAGTAGTTATGTGCTGAGCACTTTGTTAAGTGTTTTACACATATTATTTTACTGAGTCCTCATATCAATGCTCTGATGTAAATACTGTAATTTTTCCTCACTTTACAGGTGAGAAGTCAGGGGCTCAAACAGAATAAATAACTCCCCTAATGTTAAGAACCTAAGAGGGGCCCTGGCCGGTTTGGCTCAGAGGTTAGAGCGTTGGCCTGCGGTCCAGAGAGACCCAGGTTCGGTTCCCGCTAAGGGCATGTACTTCGGTTGCAGTTTGTCCCCGGCCCTGGTTGGTGGTGCGGGAGGCAGCCACTCGATGTGTCCCTTTCACGTCGATGTCCCCCCCCCCCCTCTCTCTCTCTCTCTCTCTCTCTCCCTCCCACTCTATCAGAACAACAACAAAAAAAAAAAGGATAAAAAAAAAAAAAAAAAGAACCTAAGAGGGGAAGGAGCAAAAAAATCAAGCTCAGGTTGTTTTCTAGAACCTCTAGAAAATCCTAACTTTAAGCTGAAGCCCTTCCCAAATGACTAAAACCTGGAATTCCCAGAGGAAATTGGCTTGAAAAGTCAGTCCTGTCATCGGTCACGGTTTGAACTGGACATGTAAAATCAGCCATAAGAAACAATGAAAAATCCAAAGCATGTAAGTTAAGCTAACACTTGCAATTCCCAACAGTACTCTTTCCACCCATCGCTAGGACTCACCCGGATAATAATACTGCAGTCGGGTTCCTTCCTTTCAACATACACTTCAATTAGCAAATCTCCAGCCTGGGAAACCTAGAAAAGGGCAGACGTGAGGACAACAAATAGAAGTCTGTTGTAAGAACACACACGACACTTAAGACAGGAAGTCCCAGTCCCAGTTCTAAACAGGCTATAATAATGCCGTGAGCCAATCTCCCGTTCAAGCGTGATGACACCATGTAGTGGACGTGGTGGATTAGGGACAAGGACTCAACTCAAACCGTACAAACAGCAACAACAGTCACAGTGAGGCTCTTTCTCTCTTACTAAGAGTTCAGAGTCCTCAAAACCCTTATATTCTGACTGAAATAAGGTGTCCGGGTAGAATAAAACGATGCTTACCATAGCAACAGAAGTTGTTAAACAAAACAAGGAGTGAAAAGGAGCCGTGTATAATTCTGCTCTGAGCTACGGTATGGGCCTAATACAATAATTAAAAGGGAAAGTAGGCCCTGCTAAATTTTCACAGATAATATGTCCAAAAATTGAAATCTGAGGATAACTTAGGTCAGAGTTGTTTTAAAACTACAAATAGAGAAATTATACTTAGCCAGAAAAAATGAAAGTAAGTAATAAAATAAGGTAGATAATAAAGATAAGTTTTTAATTCTCTTTAGCCAAGCGTTAGTGCTATTTTGGGTTATTATTATATCTGGGAAGATATACTAAGTGAAGAAATACAAGCCAAAAAATAAAACGCATAGATATTGTTATGTGGAGACTGACAGTATAATGTGGTGAAGACTAACAAAGAACCAAATGAATCTATAAAAAATACTGAGTTGCTTTTCCCAGAAATTCCCCCAAGTTCTATAACCGCTTGGAGATAATACCCATCCTCCAATTTTTAATGGAGAAAGAATTATTCTAAAGTTAAATTTGCCTCAGAGTAAAACCTAATGAGTAAATCTGTGGGGAAAACATTAAAAATGCACATTGGAGAAGCGTTTTAATTATTCTGACACTGTACGCTTAGAAAAGCTTATGCCCAATTTTTCTTTCTCACTTTCGATGCTATACAAAAATTCTAGGGAAGAAAAAATACAGTTGACATTTTTACTCTTCACTGTGTTTGCATAAACAACTCTCCAGGAAGGACACATTTTTTAAAATTAAAAAAGCAAACACCACAAACTCATAGAGAGAAGCCAAAAACAAGCATAGCTAGGAAATTCGAACAGGGGTAAGACAGACTGTTCAGAAAAAGAGTCCAAAGGAGAATTGGATAAAAACAGAGACAAGCTCTCCCTGGCCAGTATCGCTCAGTGGTTAGAGCATTGGCCTGCGGTCCAGAGAGACCGGGGTCTGGTTCCCGCTAAGGGCACGTACCTCTGCTGCAGTTTGTCCCCGGCCCCAGTTGGGTCGTGCGGGAGGCAGCCACTCGATGTGTCCCTTTCACGTCGATGTTTCTCTCTCTCGCTCTCTCTCCCTCCCACTCTATCTGAACACAAAATGGAAAAATGTCCTCAGGTGAGGATAAAAAATTAAAAAATAAATAAATAAAAAAACAGAGACAAGCTCAAGCAAAAGAACAGATTTTTCTAAACACTTCTACTTTCCTCTCCAAACTAATCTATTTTATAGGTAATTCATTTCATATTTTTATTTAGACCGAATTAGAAAGCACTCCAGACTCATTTCCTCATTGTAATATCAATATAAAAGATAAAAAAAGCAGAAGGGACCTCATACTTCATGTAAAACAGTGTAGCCAATGCTGTCAAAGATTAGCCTTGGGGCTCACACCATCCTTTATTCCCTGAATGGAACTCCCCCAGAAAAGCGAGAATCGCAGAGAACCAGTGATAAGCCTGCTCTGTCAGTGGTAGAGCTGACCCCCTGAAGGCTGCAATCGTCCCTCTGGGTAAAACGGAGGAGGCACTGCTTTAGGGAGTTCATTTCCGTCTTGGTGCTGAGGGAGGTAGGCAGAGAAGGAACCCTTCCCTCCTCTCCTGCATACCAAAGGGTGCCTCTGACAGCTTCTCCAATGAGGAGCGGATATTTCACGACTGAGGTGGGTTCAGGGTTTGACTGATCAGGAGGCATTTGTCTCATTCTGTGAGTGCACCTAACAAAGAGAATATCTCTGACCCATTTGTATTATTTACACTGGTACCCTGAATCCACTACAATTTCCAGTTACTCAAAGAGGATTAAAGATCAATTTTAAGCAAGTCCAATGAACAGGCATCAAACAAGGAGAGGTACCCTAGGAAAGTGTGGTACAACCTGAACTTCCAACAGAATGCGAGTGAAGAAAGAGAAAGACCTGGAAAAGTCAACTGAAGACATAAATCAGCATATAGTACAAAGATCACAGAAACATTCCCACGAAGGCAATCATCCAAGAGCAGGCAAAGCAAAAGCATGTGAGAAGTAATTTATACGTTCAAAATCGTAATGGACAGAATCACAAGGGAGTCTGAATTTTCAATTTACTCTAGTATTTTTGCCTTTAAATGCGCACTGTGAAATCCACTGGCATTTTCAATAGTGCTTTTATAAATGAAAACTGACTTTATAATGGATGTTTCGATAAGATTAACACTGATTTTTTCCTTCTATGTTTTGAAAAATTTACATGAATGAACTTTGGCATTTTGCAAATATGCATCATGCTGCTGAATTACACAACTACTTTAGGTTGGGTCCCTTTGCCCATTAATTTTACTTTGCTTCAGATAGAAACTTGAAAATAAACACAACAGATGTCTTTACTTACAATGGAGGTTTTTGGTGTTTATTTTTGAAAAACTTTTTTTTATTCTTTGGAGATCTAACTATTACTACTCACTTGAGTGTCTTTCCACTTGGTAATAAAGCTATTTTCTATGTCCATTTGTTTGACTTGGTCTTCTTTAACCTGTTTAAAATATAATTTGGGATATTCTAATAAAATACATGGAGTGATGGTACTCATCCTCACATCAGTTTCTTTAGGAATTTAAAGACCAACAAGTAAAAGTAAACGAATGGCCCTCTTAATCCGTGGAACAGCCAGGGCAGCATTGAAGTCAACCAGGCCGAGCTTCGCAAAGCTCAGAACGTTTCATGGTGACACCACTGCGGGTGACAGGGCCCACCAACAGGGCCCCCTTTGCCAAAGCCATTCAATAAGCAAAGAGGCAGATGGCTGGCTTATGGAGTTTATGTTGGTTGAGAAACAAGACTCATTTCTCAAACTAAAATATTTATTAAGTGCTTATGAAATTTCCACCATTTGAAGTTGGATTTAACAAAACCATGAAGATAGCAATTACCTGTTTTATCAACACAACAGTACAAATATAAAAATAAAGAGAGCATGCAAAGCCACACACTTGATCCTAATTCTTTCATTTCTCAGCATCAGAATTATTGCGCAGAGGCTGCTGTTGATCAAAAACAGTGAGCACATATACAAAGAAATAAAAAGAAGATCAAAGGAGAAGAAAATCCGACAACTCTGGTGTCCATGCCTATTTTAACTTAATATACAAATGGATATTTTACTTTATGAAAATGCAGTTTCCTTCCCTTTGCTAAGTAATCTTGTGATCAGTTATCATAAGAACGTAAGAACTCTACCAACAGTAACCTATTATATTGACCCATTTGATTGCATGTGGTGATCTACAGCACTGGAAGACAAGTCCTCTCCTAAGACACCCTTTAGTGGGTTGCTCACAAAGGTCCAGGGACAAGACTGAGATGCCACAAATAACCATGGAGCCGGACCATTAGCCCAGATCCCTGCATTTCCTACATTCGCAAATCCTGGGCTCGCTTACTCTATTTTTACATCTTTGAACTAAGAAAAACCATCCCTATTCTAACAGTTTTCTGATGAAACATAACAATATTACCTTCATAAAAATAACAAATTGAAAAGTCAAATAATTAGAACTGAGATGACTTAGCAAAACCCACAGAATCCTATTTCAGAATTTTCAGTTTTTTCCCAACTCAGTGTACAATGAAAAGAAACACTTTCAACTGCAGAATTTAACAGCCTGGTGTTTATTACTAAATCTGTAAATTCATAACTTCACACCTCTAAGTACACGTTCTTAGTGCATACACATACTGAGGAGAAAAAAAAACGTTAGTGCATACCCATACTGAAGAGGAAAAAAACACTGTAAATAGAAATATTCTGTTCAACAGCTACCAGATGGTAAAATAAAAAAAAAAGCCTTAAAAGCAGCCAAATTTAAATGAATGATTATACCTTTAAAAGCTAGTTATAGCTAAAAAAAATTAAAGATCAAATATAACTATATTTTATTTTTAAATATTCATAAAGATTTAAATAAAAACATCCTAAAATATGTATTTTTGTTTGTAAACAGTAACAAAGAAACCATTTTAACAAGAACACGATATAAAATATTTACCTCAAATATTTCAACATAATTATTAATTAAGTCCTCGATTACATTCACTTCTTCGCTGGTTTGTCCCTTCGTTTGGAACAGACAGGATGAAAAGACCAAGGCCAAATTATGGGCGTTCATATGATTGATTTCTGAGCACTTCTGAACCCTGTTGAAGAAAAGCATAGCTCTTTATGACACACTTCAATTTGAAAATTTCATTGATCATTTTTAACATGTTGAAGGTCTCCGATATACAGGGTCCAGTGGTGATTTAAAGAAGAATACATGGTTCTTCCTTCCAAGTAGCTAACAGTGTAGTTAAGAACATAACAGAAAACCACTGTTCAAGAAGACAGTACCACAAGTTCAGAGCAGTACTTACATGTTGATTTAAAAGGAACCCACTGTATTCGAACGGTTCCAGATAACGGGACAACCGTGGCTAAGCATAAAGGCACGCTTGCAGAGTGGTGGGAAATGACTGTGCACCGAGGCATGCATGAGAGGGCAAACGGGGCGGGAGGTAAGTAGGAAAGGAGGCAAGAAGGGCGAGCCCGGAGGCATATGGTAGAGAGCTCCAGACGCCATGGGCTGAATGCTCCAGGAGTGTGTAGTCAAGTGAGAAACGCCGTGCGCTATGTTTGTATGATTATTCAAACTGGATATTAGCTCTCAAAAAGCAAACACTTAATTTAAAAATACAACTACACTTTTCTCGAATATAACCAACAATGGCTTTTTGTTGTTGTTGTTCAGATAGAGTGGGAGGGAGAGAGAGAGTGAGTGAGAAACATCGATGTGAGAGGGACATATCGAATGGCTGCAACCCACACGACCAACCAGGGCCGGGGACAAACTGCAACCTAGGTATGTGCCCTTAGCGGGAACTGAACCTGGGTCTCTGGACCGCAGGCTGACGCTCTAACCGCTGAGCCAAACTGGCCAGGGTAAGAATGGCTTCTTATAATGAACAGAAATGAACAGACAAGTCAACTCCCCGAACCAGTAGCCTACACTTGGGTCTTGTAAACGTCATGTGAAGCAGTCACCTATGTAAGTTCAAAGAGATGAAATAGCCTGTGGCCCAGCCGGTGTTGCTCAGTGGTCGAGCGTCGACCTATGCACCATGAGGTCACTCGTTTGATTCCTAGTCAGGGCACATGCCCAGGTTGTGGGCCAGAGCCCCGGAGGGAACATGTAGGAGGCAGCTAATCAATGTTCTCTCTCATCAATGTTTCTCTCTCATCAATGTTTCTCTCTCTCTCTTCCTCTCGCTCTCTCCCTCTGTCTTCCTCTCTCTCTAAAATCAATAAAGAAAAAAAAATTTAAATAGCCCTGGCCAGTTTGGCTCAGCAGTTAAGAGTGTTGGCCTGTGGACCAGAGTTGCGGGTTCGATTCCAGTCAAGGACACATCTTCAGTTGCAGTCTGGTCCTTGGCCCTGGTCAGGGTTGTGTGGGAGGCAGCTAATTTATGTCTCTCTCTCTCTCTTTCTCTCTCTCTCTCCCTCCCTCCCATTCTATCTAAAGATAAATGGAAAAATATCCTCGGGTGAGGATAAAAAAAAAAGATTAAAATAAAAATAAAAAACTACAGCCATCACCATAATAAAAGAAAATGTACACTGATAAAATGCATGAGATGAGATGCACATGGAAGAATCTATGAATGCTATTTGACACTGGCTATGTATACACAGCTGGGTAACTGCCTAATTACATTCGCAAACTTTCAGATATATACTAAACAAGGCAGACCAATTCCATCCAAAGAATAAGCAAGACTAAGGTGGGTACACCTGTATGTAAGAACAGAGATTCTAGTAGGTACAAGGAAAAGGGAGTAAATATGACAGCAGTATGTATGATAATGTGAGAAACAATAAAATGTCACACTGCAGAGCACAGATGGAGCAAGTGCATCCATCCTACAGGATTTACAAGAAGCACAGAGCATTACAGGTTGATAGAGAAGAACATAATAACTGTGGACACCCCTCTCAAAACCACTTCTGCACCCTTATCACACTACGCTGTGAACATCTGGAAAATGTATCTGTAAGTCTGCCTCCGTTAGTAGAATCTGGGCATCTCACAGGCAGAGACCGCTGCCTTAATCGTACTGTAGTGCATAATAAATACCTGAGAATGGAATTAAGGACCTGGTAGTTATGGAGGAAGTGATCTTGTTTCTAGGACAAGGATGGAATTAAATGATAAATCAACCTGACCTCATCCAAAGTGACCTCAAACTTCTGACGACACTAGCAAACATTCCCGCCTTTCTTGAGACCGCTCTCTGCAGCAGCATTCTCCTTTGCTTCGCTTCACCTCTCTTCGCCTTCTGTAGATGCCTTCGTGTCTGGCAAAAGTCGGTACACAGAGTACTTTCCCTTTCTTCCTTTCTCAGCCGCCACAGGCTAGCATTACAGATGCTCAGTCTCTTCTTACTCAGGCCTTCTCATCAGAAGCCAGAGGAAACCGTTTCCTAATTAGTTTCTCTGACTCTATTCTAACCTCTTCCCAACCCATCCCATTACAGGAGTCATTATCCTACAGATTTAATCGGTCACTCCTAAAGGAATAAAATTCAAGTGTTTTCCCAATGGACAGAGCCTTTCACAACCTCCTGCCAGGAAACTACAAACCATCTTGTCTCCTAGCACACTTAATTCCTAGAAAACATCCTTTGCTCATGTCTTATACTCATCATTATTTCATGCTCAGTTCATATGTCTCCAAATCTGAAGCACCCCTGGACCTCGGTCCCTCCTCCATATGCCCATGTCTCATGGTAAAATTCTCTGTAATAAAATCTGCCTCAATGTTGCTGTGCTCCCTTAACAATACGAACCCTGCAGACCCTGGGAGCTCACTGTGATGTCCCAGGGCTCCTCGGTGCTCAGTCTGGGAACTGCAGACTTAGGACTGTATTTGTCATTTATGTATAACATCAAATATTTATGTTTGCATGGACTCTGACTAGGCATCGTTGTGTACACAACAGAAGTTAAAATACATGTTAGTTGAAAAGAAGGAGAGAGGGAGGAAGAATGGGAAGGAACTCCTTATCTCAAATTCAAATCTGCGTTAAGAATTATAAGAATAATGATGTGTAACTCAATGTTAATAAAGTATAGCAGCCTGGCCACTATTAAAAATGAAGAAAAAAAAATCTATCCTGCCCTGGACAGTTTGGCTCAACAGTTAGAACATGGGTCTACGGACTGACGGGTCGCGGGTTCAATTCCGGTCAAGGGGGAGTGCTTGGGTTGCAGGTTCGATCCCTGGCCCCAGTCAGCATGGTGTGGAAGGCAACCAATCAACGTGTCTCTCTCCCATCGACGTTTCTGTCTCTCTTCCACTCTATCTAAAAATCAATGGAACAATATTCTCAGGTGAGGATTAACAAAACAAAACAAAAAATCTATCCCAATGCCTCACAGGCACAGAGCAGGAACTATACACATTATATTTATATGGTGCAATAAGAAAGTCAGATCTACAGTGATGGAGTTTGCATGAGAAGCGGTGGCTGGGGAAGAGGAAGAGAAACTGTGGAGGATTTCAGAATACAGACTCCAAACAAAGTACTCTGAGCAGAATTCAGCGTCACAGAAATTTATTCAAGGGACTAGTGCATCCATGCAGGAGACTACAACAATATATTCCTTAAGCAATATTTGTACTTAGTAAAGTCGTCGTAATAATTTTCGCCAATAGCAAAACATTTGGTTTTAACATAAAAGGTTATTTTCAAACACCCTCATCTTTCAGGGGTCATTTCTCAAGCTACCATTATATTCCTCCTATCCTCCCAAATGCAGGGACTACAGGCCCTGACGTAGAAAATGTCTCTGACTGTTAAAATGCCCTCATCTGATAAACAGTCTGACACCGACACATTAGTCAGGTTAGAGACAAACTGGCAACAAAGAAGTAAGAGCTTGAGGACTCCACCAGGAGGAGATGCCAGGCTCAGTCCTGACCGAGAATTCTGGTCCCTGGACTTTCTCCTCGTCTCCAGCTTCCCTCTTAATGAGTTTCCAAAGTCTTGCTTTTTCGCTTGAGGATGCCATACATGATTATTTTTAACTCACTTAAGAAACTCTCCAGTGCTATTTATTTGAAATGCATCTTAATTGCAGAGACACTAAAGTGATGGCTAAATGGGAACTTCATTCTGAAACCCTTCTGAAGAAACAGGGACAGATCTGCAGTAGCAAGTAGAAGGTTACGCACAGTACTTTAAATTCAGGAAATAATGACCTATCAAGTGCCATGTTTGAAAATGCATTAGAACCTTCATGAATCCACCCACCTGTAAAGGTGTTCAATTAGAGCTGCCAATGTTGCTCGATTGACCCCTGGAAGAGTACGTATAAATGCTCCATATTTTTTCACTCTTTCCTTGTCATCTTGGGTATCTAGACATTAAAAAAGAAACACACACACACAAACTTTAGACCTAAAAAAATAGTACATGTTACAAATTTGCCTTTAACATCATTATAAAACAATATTCACAATTGTATTTCACTAAGTGATGCAATAAAATTTCAATAGAAAAATATTCAAACTTCTATAATTCTGGAGAAGTATTTACATAAACATTCCATGGCTATATGCTGTAGTTCTTATACTTTGTAATTAAAAATATATTACTTTCAAAAGTTGTTTTTTATCTTCTACTTGATTATTCAACTGCACCTAATAGGAATACATTCTATTAATAACTCAAAGTGGAGTGAAAATTGAAGAGATAAGGCAAAAGTATTTTAAATCTGGCTATGGAAAGATTGCACTATTTGTGTTTTAAAATTTCTGTTCTTTTTTTTTTCTCTTGCGAAATCATAAAAATCTCCCCCAAACTAAAACCATCCCAGAGCTGGGAGCTGTGCATTACTCTGCAGCCCAGGTGCCTTCCACTCCCTGGAGAGGAAGAGGGACAGGAGACGTCATGTGCGGGTCCCGATGACTGTGACACTGACTTGGAGGAGGATGGACCACTGCCGGAGTCATGGACAGAACTTGGCTAGTCATGGAGAAGGGGACAAGAAGGAATTACCCCCCACTCTCCTAACCCTAGGAAGTCAAGTACTTGCAGAAACTGGACACAGGAACGCCCAAAGTTCCAGTCCCTAGAACAGTGTAGTGGTGGTTTTGTTCAACCTACTGGTTCACCGGGGAAATAACAGGCCTTGGAAGCACGGGACAGACAGAAGAATCTCAGAGGGAAGGGGGGTAGGGCAGGAAAAGATACACCAAAGAACTTATATCACAGACACAGACAATAGTGTGGTGAAGGTCTGGAGCGGCGGAAGGAGAGTGGATGGGGTCAATGGGGAAAAAAAGGGGACGCATCTGTAATACTTTCAACAATCAAGATAAATTTTTTAAAAAAGACCTTTCTTCAAATAAATAACTCATGCTGACTTTGTAACTCCAAGAGACTGCACTTGCTATGTATTCCCTCTAAAACTCCCAGCTAGTTTTGGAAACAAGACTTTTTCAGTTTCCATTTAGCCCTACCTATTCTAGTCACAGAAAGCCAGCAGACATGAATGATTCTTTGAAAGTACAGTCACTGTAAAGGGCATTAGGACCCTTAGGGAGGTGAGGGATTCTGTGACACATTTCTGCAACGCACGCCTATGGAAACTGCCACTGGTGGCTCCTTCGTACGGACGTAACCTGCCGAGAGGTCTATAAAGTACACTCCGCCGCACTGACGTGTCTGCGCTGGTAGATGAATGACTGTCTAAAGGCAAGAGGGGCAAACACCCAAATTACGTTCAGGGATTATGCTGGGACTGAATTAACTGTCCTCCCTAGTATAATCCACACAGTTACCCTCCTGATATCCAGTTTCTAACTGCAGAAGTAATTGTATTTATTCAATACAAAGTAAATACTACTACTGCACTTATAACAAGAAGTCAGGCTGGTTAGTATAGTGTATTTCCACATGTCTTATAAAAATAAACAAAAGACATTTTCAAAATAAAGCTTAAGGAAATAGGAAGTAAAACTTAAGATAGATTTCAGGTCACACAGAAAATATAATGAACTATTCAACTAGCAACAGACATCGGCAATTTAATAGTGTTCTTAGAAAAATAGATCATAGATCACACAAACAGGTGCGGTGTCACTGTAAGGCGTTCTTCGCCGTGGCTGCACAGGACCAGGAGAGCTCTCTTACAAGGTAACCCAGAGAGAGCTGGCTGAGCCTTGTCACCCCAACACAGGGCCCTTCTGAAAGGTCAGGGTGAGAGCTATAAGGGATTTAAAAGCAAAGGACTTTAAGGTTGTTTGACTCAGCATTCAAAGTCTTCTCTGAGTCCGTTCTCAAAGAATTCGCATCCACGTGAAAGGTGAAACCTTCCTCTCTGACACACACTGCCATTTCCCAGCTCTCCTCCTGACAGACATCTTCATCACCGAATCTGAAACTTCATCACTGAACCAGCAAGAGCATATTTGCCAAAGATTTTTGATCACTGATTTTAAAAGACATTGTAAGTCTTCATCAAATAGATACAATAAATAACTTCATAATTATAAATTTCAATAAAATATTTTAAAAACCATAATGAGGGTGGCAAGTAACAGAGCTTATAGAGCGGTATCATCTAATTCCACATATTATATCCCAGAAAGTTATACAATCATCTCTTTTTGTGACTCAAGTTAAACCTATAGATTTGAGAAATATCAGGAAGCAAAGAAAAGACTTCGGGATTACATAAATTGTGAAAAAATTATTTTAATAACATTACTACTCTCTTCTTGCTGGCACTAACAAGGGATCATTCTTAGGATAATTTTTAAATTGTAGATGTTTCATGACATCATTTCAAAATCAATTCCTTCAAGTATCACATATACGTTTTAGTGTAAACAAACACTTTCAAAGAAAAAAACCATTTCTCAATGAAGAAACATTGTATTGTCAAATTTTAAGGGCATTTTCCAAAATTATCTTAAGCAGATTAAATGCCCAAGAAAGAAATATATTAGTAAATGATGGAATAATTCAATGATAAATTTTAAAAGTTTGAAAAAAATGAAGATTGAAAATCATTTTGAAAGCAATGTAAATATATAGAAAATGTTTGTTATTTGTTAATAAAATATTTATATATAAATTATAGGTATGGAGCAAAGAATATAAAATAAAATGTAAACATAAAAATAGTTCTATTAGAAAAACAGAATTAAAGGCAATGTTTACATTTTAAAATATTGTTTTAATGTTTCTATAAAAGAAGTTGTTTTAATTAATGGCTATAAATACAGGTTTACTGAAATAATTTGGCCAAATTCGTCATTTAATAAAATACTTTTCTAGAGTCATTTCTTACATAGGTTCTCTTACACTGTAGCAAAGCTTTTTAACTCCATTAAACAGAAGCTAAAGAAAATAAAAAGTCAAAAATAGTCACTGTGTACTCAAAAGAAGAAGAATAAATTATAGAGAAAAGCCAAAAGAACCATATAGGAAAATCTTATTTAAAAAATCATGTATTAAACCTTTCATTTTAATCTTAACGAGAAATTAAAAACATACATGGACTGAATTATAATACTTCCCAAGTTCAAGCAGAGTCAGAACTAAGAAATCTACTGAAAACTAAGTACATAAAACATTATTTAGCAATTATTACCATAAATTTCTCTTCAAGTAAAAATAAACAACTACTGATATTTACATAATTTCTCTTCAGAGCCATATGTACATTTTCGCCTTCAATTTAAATTTCAGATGATCAAATAAGTGTTCCCAAAGACAAGCACTGGTGATTGTCTATGCTACATGCGTTACCTAAGGCGGAGATCCAATAGGGGTAGAGCTCCTTAGTGAGAAGGGCGTCGTCGATGTCCGACAGGAACCGTTTCAACACATCCGTCACATCTTCAAGCTGATGTTTTCCAACCCTCAGTTTAAACCTTCTTGCATCTTTTTTGAAACTCTCCAGGAGTTCACTTACACGCACAGGATCACCGTTCTTTTGATAGATATATTTGCACCCTAAACCTTTGTTTAAAAAAAAAGAAAAAGGTTATATGAAAAAGTCTACAGTCAAAATCCACTTTGAGATCTTAAAAAATTGAACACACTTTTATGTTGGAATGACAAGCAAGACAAAATCATTATCTAAGTGTTGATACAACACGTATGAAAGGAAAAGGCTTATCCCCCTAATTTTAGTATGTATCGTGTAAACCTGATGAAATATTCCATCCTTGGCTTTAAACAAGACTGGTCAGCCCTTCTCACAGTTCCTCATAGTATCTTTTTTAAATTGTTCTTTTATAGCAAGTGCCCTGTCTCCGCCTAGTCCGCCAGTTTCACTGACAAAAGTGAGACTCTCTGGTATAAATTTCCTCACTCACCTCCCTCATATTTGCATATTAATATCTGTCTGTTCCCAACTTCACTTTCTTCTAGAATCTAGATGAAATGCTGGGTCTTCTTGTTTACAAAGATACTGATTTATCAAGTGCCCCATATAAAATAAGAGAAATAGTAGTGGTTGGCAGGAGGAGGAAGAGGAGAGTGATGGTGAGGACCAAGTCGATAACACAAAAACAAAATCCCTCCCTCGCCCCTCCCTGGTCTCTTGTTTCTCTTCCTTCCAAAACTAAGCTGTATTATTGTTTCTGTCATCTCATGGCCTTCCTGGCGTAATGATGTCATCTGCCCCCTGCCCTTCCTCGATGGCTACTCTTCTCCTTATTCTGCGTAATGTTTACTGGTGATCCCAGGAATCTAACCTCAAGTCTCTTCACTTCCACACGCCCCCACAAAATCCTCTGGATAAACCCCCCAACCTCATTACTTCAACTACTAACGTATATGTTTTCACCCAGGTTTTCTTTTCTAAGATTTCAAACACACACAAATACATTTTAAGAAACATGTGTGATACATGCAACACACACACACCCTCACAATACCACACATACGGACCAATCAAAACAACCTCAGAGAAATCCTCCTGGGCCGTTTACTGCTTCACCTCCTACTCTAACATGTTCTTTATCTCAATGCATGGCACTGTCTTCTCCCCAATCTTTTCCAACTCAGAACCTTTGTTTCTCACTTACCAGATTTAAAAAGAAAAACTTGGTCGCATAGACTTTTCATCATGACCTCACTCTCAAACGTTCCCCTTCCTCCCATCCTCCAGGCTGCTTCTCTGCTCTCAGTCCCTCGCTCCATTTTCACAACTCCCGCCCGTATGCTTGCGCAGCCGTCCAGTCTGCTCGACAATGATGACAGTGTGGCCTGAGATACAGGTCCAACAGTGCCACCAAGACGCCTAAGATCTGCACACTGCCCTTGCACTGCCTACAAGGCAATTTTGAGGATTTAATCACGACACAGAAGACCCTACCTGAATTTTCCTTACACATCCTTATCTTCCCCCTGTTCTCACATTAAGTTATGGGCACATTTAACTACACCGAGCTCTCTGAACAGACAATGCCCCTCATGACTCCACACATGGGCACACACTGTTTCCTCCTCTTCCCTCTAATAAGCTCCTATTTTCTCTTAATACCCCTGGTGGGCACTGCCTCACCCATGTAGCCTTCCATACCACCCCCACTCTGGATAAGATTTACCCCTAGACACATGGACACCTGTACCAACCCCAGAGCCTCTCTACCATAGAATTTTGTACACTTGAGATGTAACCACCCACTTGTTTGTCTTTGATCCACAAATCTGTAAAGTCCTGGAAGGCAAGGGTCTTGCTTACTCTGTGTAGACAGCAGTTACACAGTGCCTAGAAGAACTCAGTAAATAAACGACTGCTTAATGAGAGAATAAGCACATTCTACAAACAAACTACTGTGACTTAAGTTTCTGAGATACTATGTTCCTAGTTGAGTGAATTTCTAATAGCTGGTAATCAAAAAAGTTAACTGAATGTGAATTTGAACATAATTTTGTTTACATTAATTAATTTCCCCCAAGAACCAACTATTGTAACTCATTTAACACACATAAATTTCTAAAGGTTATACTGTGAACTCGGTCAAGTTCAAATCTTGACACAATGGAAAAAATTGGCCTTTCAATTTTAACCTGAAGGTCAGGAAGTTCAAAATAAGGGAGGCCTAAAAGGCTCTGGGCTGACCACCTGCATCCTATAATCACTGGACATTTTCTAATAAAATGGGTTTTCCCCAAGTACTGCTCATTAAAAAAACATTTTAAAAATAGAGTCCTTCATTGGCTCTATTACTTTATTATGCAAGTTAATGTAGCTTGTATTAGGGTTACAAAGTAGATATAATGTATCAAATTTAGTTGAAAACAATCTAAAGCTTAATGATTTTAAATTCAAAGAAACATCACAAAGTAGCTTCTGATTTCCCTAGAGAAACATGAAATTATATACACTGGAACCAGTCAAGTTATTTTGATCATCTGTCAGCTTAAGAAAGACTCTATGCCGTTATGAAACTGACATGTGAAAATTCCCAATGAGGTTATGCTCTTGCCAAAATGTAACACTTGTGCAATTCATTTATACCTACAAACTGCAGTACACTAACACCTAATAACAAATAACTAATAAAATGAAGATGATGACCTTCTTTCTCCCCCATTTTCAGATAAACAGATTACAGTCTCATAGCATAATGCACACATAATGTGATTAAATACATATTCACAGTAGATATATAATTTAAACACAATTCTGAATATTAATGATAACTGCACTTGGATTACATATGAAATAAGTAAAAACACTGAAACAGTGCTCTTCTTAGAAGCAGATTAATATACACATAAATTTCAAAAACTTATTTTCTTTACTTCGTTATTTCTGATATTTTGTTACATATCAGTTCATTGTCAGTTCTCAAGCAGAAACACACGATTCATGGCTTCGTCTTTAACTTTCTCCTCCCACAGCCGTATTCCAGGACCAAGATCAGCGGCTGGCACACAGCGGACACTCAGTAAAGAAGCAACAAACCAGTAACCCAGAGTTTCACTGCAGCTCTCTCACTGATAATACTTTCTCTCAAATTAAAATCACCTAAACTCATTTCTAATTTTAGAAAAATAAAAAAAGTTAATACACCTACCAAAACACCAGATCAATTATTTTACTCTTTTCTGCATTTGTAGTCTAACCCAATAGCATTTATCTATAGATTAAAGGGTAGAAACATTTTTATATTAAAAATATAGTTAAGAAATTTCTACCTTCTAGACTATTAAGGAAATCTGTAAAAGAAATAAGGAATTTGAAGAATTCACAGCAATTTAAAAATAAACACAAATAACAAAGGTATACTTTTACTCTGCAGGCTTACCTAAAATACCACCATGCACATTAAAATAAAGCTGGACCAGGCAGGTATCAAACTGTTTTTTCATTTATTTAGTTTTTTACCTACACATTATTCAAAGAAAATGCTACAATTAAGTCAAAAGTATTACAATCAATAACCATAATTCTTAATATAAACATGTCACCAATAGCACAGAAAGTAAAATAAATACATACACGCTTGTATGTATGTCAAAAAAATTCTTTTACATATTGGACCACAGATGACCACGTCTAAACACATGCTGAGGATGCACACTGCATTCTCCTAAACTTCACTGTAGCTTTATAACATCTGAAAAATGGTCTTTAATAGACATTTCACAATATAGATTCTTTCAATCTGCTATTTAAATTTTTACGCTTGTAAAGGAATAAGAAAATAATAAGAGTGTGCTACATATTTTAAATGAGTTTTACTGGGCAAAGCAATGGCATTTAACTGAACAGTGACGATGTTTGTATTTTTCACGGATGTACTTAAACATAAAATGCTCTAATGCAGTCCAATGGAGGTACAGTACCACTTAAAAACTGTAAGAATGATACCATGAGTTCGGGGCTGAATAAAAGCTGTGATACTTACCATACTGCGTAACAAATGCTATACAGCTGTTCACGATAATGGGAACGTCGTTTTTGCTGAGCTGCTGATCCTTTAAAGCGTTACCATCTGTACCTGCTGCTTTCTCGATCGCAGCATGCCAGACTGCGAAATCCAGCTTGGTGTGCCCGTGGATGTACAATGCTCTGTAAAGTTTAAAAAGCATTTCAAATTATAATTTTGCTTTAAAAAACACACAATTCTTACTCCTTGACAGGTGTTCTTTAAATCCAAATATACATCTGATCTTGTCTCAACCATGAGAAGAAAAACCCTCCATCTACCATTAGCTTCCACTCAAAATGCCTTTGTCCTGTCTACACCTCTCTCCACAGAGTAGAGGAAGTTCTCTGAACGTGTGGTCTTATCTCCTTTCATTTCACAACACCTGTTATTCTCTCTGAATAAATAAACTGAAACTGTTCTGGTAAGTGTCACCAGTGACTTCTATTGGATATATGTGGCTATATTTTTCAAGATTTTAGACCTGCTGATGACTTCATTTCTTGAGAGAGAGAATCCGCCCAACCTGGCTTTGTAGCACAATTCCCTCTGGCTTCTCCTCCTATCTCTCTGGTCAATCTCTTTCCCAAGCCCAAGTGCTCCTGAGAATGAAGCTGTAACCTCAATGAACTCCAAGGCCTCTCTAGGGACATGCCGTTCGGGCCAGAGGTTTCATCCCATATGTAAACTGGTAGCCCCCAAATCCCTATCTCCAGGCTATAATTTTGTTTTACAAACCGGATCTCCATGGTGTCAAAAAGCAAAAGCTTAAAACAGCTAAGAGAGTGGGAAATCCAATCACTTACAGACTCAAATTTCAGTTCTGTACTTACTTCCTTTGTGACCTGGGAGAAGTATCAACCCTCTTTGGGCCTCAGGTTCATCACTGGCAAAATGAGGATAATAAAAGTACCTACCTCAGCACTGAATAAATGTAATATTAATAACTAAGTAATAAACCATAATACTAAGTAATATTAACTTTTGGACCCTTTCACGGTAATGTGCCATAAGTACCTCAAACCTTTTGCTTCCTCATTCCAAACTGGTGCTACAATTCCCCACTTACCCACTGGAAATTTAGGATTAATTGTAGATTAGCACCCCCACCCCCACCTCGTCACGGCCACTTGAACTCAGTCACAAAATGCTATTGGTTCATTCCCTGACATACTCGCTGTGTCCCCTTTGTTCCAACAGAGCCTCATTTCAGGTCCTTGTATCACTCCCTCACTGAAGACACTAACACCCCTCGCACAGAACTCTGTTCCAATTATCCACCTCCCTAATCCCTACTCTTTCAGGCTGTCAAGATGTTCTTTCTAAAATGCAAAGCTAATGACACTGTTGAAATGCAGGAGAGATGAGTGGGCCAAATTTCTCCATTGCTAGTGAGAGTGGGGCTCTTGTGGTATCTTCATGAATTTTCTAAGACTCACACATGATAATGAATGATTTTTATTTGCATAAAATTATATTCCTTGGGGTTAGAAAGCCTCAGTTCCTTTAAACCAGTCCTGGAAGACATGCAGCTGAGGTTTGAACAGAGCTAGAAGTAGGGCCAGTGTTCAGAGCTTCGGTTCCATGGCGGAGTCTGATGTATCACCAGTCCATTGTGGGGGTCACATATAGCTGTGAGTCACATGGGCAAATGCAGGGGAGTGCTCCCCCTGAAAGAGGAGTCCCAAGAGGGCCAAGAGAACCAAGACAGGGGGCTTCCTTTGTTCAGGAGATTATGGATCTCAGATTTCAAACTCTTGCAGTGGCCAAGCCAACTCTGTTCCCTCATTACTTAGACCCTTCCCTCTGCAATCTTTGGGGAGTAGACCTGGACCACTTCCTGCCAAAGCCGTATAAATGGCATGCCTATATTATCTAGTCTTCTCATTATTCCTTTCCTGTTAAATGATAACTAGGTTATTAATGGTATCAACACTGAACATTCCTAATCAATGTTCTTCTATAATTCTGGAGTTTTCAAGATTAAAAGGCCCTCACAATCTGGCGAATGAGCCCCCTTCAACTTTGCCATTCCCCGACGTTCAAAAACACATTAAAGAGTTACATCTCCTGATCTTTGTAATAAATATTTCCTACCCTTTGGCTGGCAACACCAAATCTTCCCCCAGGTGTAGTCCTTGACACTCTACCCCTGATGTCCCTCCTATGCTCACTGTGCAACACGTGTCCTTTGTTGATCCCGAGGAGCCGCTCTGCCCTCCATTGTAACCCTGTTCACATTTGGGAATAGTGTAGCTGCTAGATCCAGGTGTCAGGGAGGTGACCAAGGAAAGCATTTCAGTGTCTCTTTAGTCATTAGCACAGTGTCTGCCGTTGAGTAGGTACATACCATTTTTAAAGTCCTATGACTAGATATAAAACTTGATTTGAAACACCAGCTGATCACTGATGTATTTACGTATATTTACACCAAAGTAAAACTATTTCATCTCCATTTCAAACCATGAGAGGGCTACTTTGGATTCAAGCAAAGAGAAAGGAATGAGCTGCATAAACTCTTGAGTTGTTGGGGATTTTTGTTTGTTTGTTTTTCAGAAGGAGGGTAATCTTTTATTTTCCTTAAAGCTCGCTGGCCCTCATTTAATTTTAAAAAAAGAGAAAAGGCCCCTTTCCCCGTGGTTGCGTTTCTGGAAGAGTTCCCCCAGAAGAGCTCCTGCACCTCCCCACACTCAGGTCTACCTTCTGGACTGGCTGTAACTACCAGGAATCTCCGTCTCTTGCTTTCTGACATCTTCGTGTTTTTATTTTTCCACATCACTACAGCAGCCCTGACCTGCAGGTTTTACAATTTTCTTTCTTTCTTTTTTTTTTTATCCTCACCCAGGGACATTTCTGCATTCACCTTCAGATAGAGCGTGAGGAAGAGAGAGAGAAACATCAAAGTCAGAGAGACACATCGACTGGTTGCCACCCACACGACCCCAACTGGGGTTGGGGACAAAATGCAACCAAAGCATGTGCCCTTAGTGGGAACAGAACCTGGGTCTCTCTGGTCCACAGGCCGACGCTCTAACTGCTGAGCCAAACCGGCCAGGGCCTTACAATTTTCTTTTTGAAGAATTCTGCCACTCTTATAATCCTAACATACTTTAGCCATTTCATTTATCTTAAATCATCTTTAGCCCAAAAGCACTCTATTGCTGGTTACATTTTTCTAAATGAAACTGTATAACTCGGGTAATCTTCCTGAGAAATATCAAGTCCCTACATTTAGGCCTAACTAAAATTACATCTTGTTGAATTCAGTTTAGGTAAAGAGAAAATTTTAACTTTTTTTTTTTTTTTTTTTTTTTTTGAGTCTTGGCTGTTTCTTTTTGTTAACCTGATGATTAAGCTCTAAATTTGATATAAAACATTTAAAACTGTGTACTTTTATTTATTCATTTAATTTATTTTTTTATCCTCACCCGAGGACATTTTTCCATTTTTTTTGTTCAGACAGAATGGGAGGGAGAGAGAGGAAGAGAGAGAAAGAGAGAAACATCAATGTGAAAGGGACACATCGAGTGGCTGCCTCCTGCACGACCCAAGCAGGGCCGGGGACAAACTGCAACCGAGGTACGTGCCCTTAGCGGGAACCAAACCCGGGCCTCTCTGGACCGCAGGCCGACATTCTAACCACTGAGCCAAACCGGCCAGGGCTAAAACTGTACTTTTAAACAAAGTACTACAATGGGCGAATCTCAGCAAGCAATGGAAGAAATCCAAAGAGCAACAGCCCCCTGCAATATCAGTCTAACTCTGCCTTTAACTGAATGTTTCAAACTTCACGCTCCCTTTGCAGTCAGAAGAAACCCCATGACGACAAGTTTAGCTGTCTCCCTGTGAACTACTGTGGGTTAGAACTGACAAGTTAACTCCTGAGTCAACCTGTCAAGGACGGAATACACCATCCAGTGCAGCGGACGTCTGACACTGAACTGCTCCGTCCAACACGGTTCCTTTCTGGGTATCTCAACCCTGCGCACACCGACCAGGCAGTGCGGGCACTTTCAACACAAACGCGGCTGGACTCTGTGATTTCAAGTGCTAGCAAACAACCATTTTATATTTATGAGAAAAATGCCAAAGAAACATTCATTTACATCTTTAAAATCTGAAAAGTTATTTTGAAGAAATTTAATTATATAGAGAAAGAATTATCCGAATTGTCCATAAATGTTAAAGGGTACTTCAAAGCCATATAAAGAAACCATCCCAATATCCTGTAACAAATCAAAACAGTTCAATAAGACCCAGAGACCAAGTGCCAGGACTAATAAAAACAATGTTTTCAAAACTGCAACATAATAACCAAAACGCACAGACTATCATATTCCTGCCTCGTCTACTGGCAAGAACCAGAAGCCTCTTCACAAATAACTGATTCAATAAATTTTCCTGAAAAATAAATGCACTTATATAACTAAAGAACATTTTAAACACAACTAAAAAACAAATAAGACTCCACAAGCTGACTGAAAATGACAATATCCTAAGCATTTATACAAAAAATTTTTTAAATAATCTTCCAGCCTAAGTCACATTTATATGGCGCACAAACACTTTATTTTCCTTTCATTTCTGAAAGATATTTTTTTCTAAAGAGAGTGTTTAGGTTAACAGCTGCTGGTTTTTGAGTTTGTTTTTATCTTTTCCATTTTTTTGCCAACATTTTAAAAGCTCTCATTATACCACCTCCTGGTTGGCACTGTTTCTAATGACATTCTCACCTTTGTCCCCTATGTTTAATGTGTTTTCCTCTGGGACTTATTTTTTTCCTCACACTGGTTTTTTGGAATTTGATTATGATGTATCTTGATATGGTTTGTCTTTATCACACTTAAGGTATGTTGATTTTAGTACGTGTGGGTTTACAGTTTTCATCAAATTCAGAAAATGTTTGGTCACACTTCTGCAAAAATTTTTTAAAATCCATCTTTCTCTTCTCTCATTTTTGGATTCTAATTATACTGAGACTGCTTAACATTGTCCCATAGGTCACTGACACTGCCAATTTCATTTAGTCTTTTCTCTCTGTGCTTAAATTTTGATCATTTCTTTTGTCATACCTTCAAGTTTATTAATCTTTTTTATACAGAGTCTGCTTTTATGTTAAGCCAATACAGTGAAATGTTTTTTA